TTTTGCATCTCCTGGCTTGTTTACAAGCGGAGCCTTCTCTGACAGTAGTTGATCGCACATTGCCTCGATTGCTTCCTTGAGTTGCTGTCTTGCCAAGGCCGTTATACCCTTGCAACTGTACTTGTACTCATCATCGGCGAACTCCTCTACATGGTCGGCAAGCGTTTCCAAGTCGGGAAGAACAGTTGTTGTTGAGAAGGGGTTGACCATCATCGCCAAAAGACGGATTGCGTTGAAGCTACTTCTTGCGTCGGCTCCATACTCCATGAATTCATGTGCAATTCGATCGACCAACTGCACAGATGATTTTGCCATGGTCTTGTGTTTGTGAGGGACCCTTCTCATCCCAACCGTTGTCAGAGAGCTTGGAACAATGTACGTATTCCCCAACTTGGTTGGAGCTGGATCAAACGGAGTTCCATCAAAGGTTCGCCTGGGGAAATTTGCATCTCCATCCCACTTGTCGGTCGCGTTTGGATTCTCAAGAATTCTCGTCTCTGGAATCCACCAGAATTCTGGAACGAAATAGAGGACGGCAGTTCTGTAAAGAAAATAGTAAGAGTACGAGATGGAACCGAAGCGATCACTCTGAACAATCATAAGAAGGGTATACAGAGGATACTGGACGGAATAGTGCTGGGAGACAATGTAGAAGTTGTCATCGCTGAGATCCTTGTTGCTGACGTTCTTGTGGTAGTAGATGCGAAGGTTCCATCTGGCAACAATCATATCCCCGTAGTGAAGAACAACTCCACCTGATCTAGTATGGTTGGGAATACGGATCCTTTTTCCAACTCGACCCTCATCCCTCATCAGCTGGAGGAATACCTTGTAGCGTCCCTTGGATTTCTTTTCCATCAAGTGCTTTGCACAAGCCTCGCTCATCTTTCGTACCACCTGTCCCGGCTCAAAAGAGTCAACAACCTTCTTGTTGTCAGTCCTGACCCTCCGACCATTTGCATGGTCAAGACACAACTGCATCTGATGCATAGCACAAACACCGTTAACTCCAGTAAGTTTGCGACCAACAGAGAGGGCTACTGCGGTAGTGTCATTAACCGCCCGGTACAACATGCTTTTCTTGATACCCAAAGTAGATAGGACTTCTTCGATCTGTGCGACGGTTGGTGCGGCCTTCTTGTTTTCCACAATACAAAGTGGCAACGGCAATTCTGAAGTACTGTTTCCGGACGGGAGAGTAGAAGTAGATAGATGCTCCCAACACTTCTTCTGGTTGGAATCCCAAACATCATGACTGATCATGATGAACTCTTGAGGCTTGCCAAAGATTCGGAAGTAGGCGTCGGCTGCCTCCGTCACATACATTTCCACTCCAGCAGAAAACTCAAACCAGGTTTCACGTCGCTTGGTTCGCAAAGCTTGCCTACCCATGAGTCCGTAATTGTTCACTCTCTTCAGGGCCTCGGCGTTGGCAATGATGAACTGAATCATCCTAAAGTATTCAGGACAGTTCGTGTGATCAGTAACAACACGCTCAGGAATGTTGTTGAAAGTGATGAACTCATCCTGTAAAATCTTGAACTGTTCGAGGACATTACCAAGTCCAGCCTGAACAGCCATGTTGTGCACCACATTGACAACACCTGGTGGAGACTTGAGTTGGCTTACCGGTGAGCCTCTAACAGAAGCCACATGAGACGAAGATGTAGCCGAGACGGCAAGCAGCAGCAGCATTAGCGGCGGCTGCAGCAGAACGACTTGGTGGCAACGGTCTTGGAATAGCTTCTTCAGGAACTTTCATTCCCCATGTGTAGGCAGACCCATAATGCTTGATGGCACGCGAGACTTCCTTGTGTTTAGCATTAACATGAGTAGACAGATTTCCAATACCATCGTATACAGCATGAACATACTTCCTGTTGTAGGACGGACTGAAGAGACACCTGTGGAGGGGAATGTCTTGCTCAACACAGGCGATGCACGCCATCAGTGGACGGAAATTATTGATATACTTCAGCAGCTTGACCTTTGCTGTCCGATCCAATCCTTCGAGAGTGTCCCAACCCTCAGGGCTAATGATCTCTATAACTCTGAAAAGCTGCCAAAAAGGTGACTTCTTCTTGCTGTTCTTGAAGTCATTCCTGATGTTGAAAGTAAAGAGAGACTTGGCTTCCAAGTAGGAATTGGAAAGCTGCTCTCTTTCGTCCAGGTGGTCTTGCGGGTCAACCTCCTCTTCTTCCTCATCTTCGTCATCGTCATCTTCATCTTCATCTTCCTCCTTTTCTTCCACAGGTGCTCGTACGGCTGGGCGGACTCGTGCGACTGCGGCTGGGCGGCGTCGTCCGACTGCGGGATCTCGTGCAACTGCGGGACCTCGTCTGACTGCGGGAGCTTTTGCAACTGCGGCTGCAGGCGCCACTGCGGCTGCAGGCGCCACTGGTACTGCTGGCGCAACTGCGGGTGCTGGCGCAACTGCGGCTGCTGGGGCACCATAGATGTCTTCGTTGTCGGTACCATAACCACGTTCCACCTCCCCCCCATGTTCGAGCTCACGATCTGCATGGTCAAAAGCTGTTGGTGAAAGTGTCCGTTCAATAAAATCCACATTGTCTCGGTTTTCATCCGAGAAAACACTGCTAGTGCCGGTCCCTTGAGCCGCGAACTCATGATCCTCCGCCACACTTGGCATGGTTGAGGACGAAAGACGGTGGGGCGACGACGAAATAACCAGTCAAGTAACCAGTCAAGTAACCAGTCAAGTAACCAATAACCAGTCGAAATAACCTGTAAAGTAACCACTCGAATAACCAAAATGCGAGAGGTTCCCCTTTTGGGTTATTGGTTGGGAAATTTATGAGAGGAAATGGCAAAGGTCGAAAATCGAATAACCGATCAAGTAACCAGTCAAGTAACCAGTCAAATAACCAATAACCGTATACGATAACCGCTCGATCAACCAGTCAAAAAGCTCCGGTTACCGGTTATCGGTTATTCAACCAATCAAAATAAATATGACCGGTTACCGGTTATCGTATCGATGACCGGTTAATAACCGGAAATGACCGGTTAATAACCGGTAACCAATGGAATCGGTTCGCGAACCCTGGTTTGGTGTGCTGTTTCAGCGTTCCACCACCCCTTCATTTTTTGTTGTTGTTGGCTCCAACATCTATCCCACATTTCACAGTCTCTTGTATCTACGGTACAGTATCTAGATATCTATCTAGCTACGGTAGAGCACAGAGCAATTGTCCTAAGGCCGTACCGGTGACAAAAGCGATTCATTACGTATTCTTGCTTCAGGGAGAGTCCCTTGATAGCTATTGGCTAGAAATTTCAAGGACAGGTCACGTCAGATGACGGATAGGCAGTCGGTGAAGGTTTCCTTGCCTGCAGCTTCTCTAGCCAAATAGCAGCGCCTATCTCTATCCTAGATGAAACCTGATACACGTTATGCATCACATGAATAATATACGAAGACTGCATCTATCTGTTACCATCTCTTTGCCGTGGTGGTGACGGTAGTACACGAAACCGTTTTGCCAACTGACCAGAGTGACAGTCAGCTCCAGAGTCTGCGGAAGCAAACAAGCTAGTACCGGTATCTAATAGGCTGGCTAGAAGATTGAATCCCCGTCGAACCCACTCTTCTGTGCTCTCCACTCCCCACCGATTTCGGAGAGTCCCAAGAATACAAAATGTGGCGGCTTGATCCTCACTCCAGCCGAGCCCGATGCACACGAATAAAATCCTGGCGAACACAGGCTCCTCATCACGTGGTGGTTCAAATCTTCAAATCCTCCTGCTTGGCTGCTCGTATGGGATCATCAAGAAGCATTCGGAGATGGCAAGCAAATACTACTAGTACCGTACTACTACTAGCTAGACAACACACCGGCAATAAGGTGGCATCATACCAGGTGGGGCCACGAGTGACACAGTCTGGCAACCACGAAACCTTGGTTCCTGCTCAAGACTGGACCAAAGCAAAGTCCTTGCTCCGAGGAGGTCTTGGGCGCACCTGAATAGATACCGGTGCTCTCAAACTAGTAATCATAATACGAGTGAATGCTTGCATTTGCTGATAATAAAGGCGGGCACGTAGGTATACTCCTCGTAATAAAGAAACATCTTTGATCTTTGGTCACCTCAATCCTGGGACGACGGCAACAGTTCCTTGTGAGCCGCCTGTACTCACCTCTAGCGTACCAGTACATCATGTACTGTGCTGCCACCAACCACCAAGACCGGGACAATTGGATCGGCTGCTTGGAGTATGCCGGAACCGTTGCTAGTCTACATTTAAAAATATGGTAGATCTATGGGAACTGGCAGCCCTCGAGAAAGATGCTGGGTTCCCCACACGAACGTCCGTCTCCAGACTGGATCACATAATTTATTTGATGATGCCACGGTTTGGTACCGGTACAGCACGTAGAATGCCGGTACAATAGCAATGTGGAGTGGCAGTCCCGATTGCGCTGGACTCATCGCATGGCAGTGTAACGTTCCTCATATTTGAAATCATTAGCATTGGATTTCGTCCATCAAAAATCCTTCACATACAAGGAAGTGCTCCACTATCAACAGTCCTCACCATAATTTGAAATAGGGTCTTTGTTCCGGATCTCTCTTACTTTGTTGAGAAGAAAAACAACAAGAAGAAGAAGAACAACAGTATTAGTTGTAATCTTGAAATAACCATGATGATTCCACGACGAAGAGTATCTCTCCTTGCTTCCATGATACTGCCAACAGCACATGTAGTGTCAGCCAATATGGTGCTGCGACAGCTGCATGTAGTGACCAGGCAGGGATCTCCCACAACTATTATCGATGGGGACTCTAATTTTCCTGTACAGGCCCTGAGTACTGCCGGGGAAATGCAAATGGAACAATTGGGAGCATGGATTCGCCGAGAGTTCCAAGACAACTCGACGGGTCTTTTGGATCAATACCATCCCACGCGAGTGCGAATCGACAGCTCGGCCTATGACACTACCATTGTCTCGGCTCAATTGCTGGCAAAAGGTCTCTTCCCGTCCAACAACAATGTACCCGTCTTTTCCCAAGCGGCACGCAATGACATTACCATTGCGGCTGGAGACCAGTGCCCCACCTTTAATCATCAAGTGGACCTCCTCCATTTACAGCAAGACATGGACTGGAATGAAATGGAGTCCGCCTACATGGGCCTCTTGATCGAATTGGCCACTCTGCCAGTACTGAGTGGTTATGCCGTCCAAGGATTCAATGGACCCTATGTGCCTCTGCACAGTGTCTGGAAAGTCTACGACATGATTCGAGAAGCCAAGGTCTTTTGTACCGGCGAAACAGCCGACATGGGCATTTGTTCCCTCTTGACATTCCCCCATGCCGCAGCCCTCCTCACCGATCCCGAATGGCAAGACTTGAAGACTCTCGTACGGTACACCGAAGTGCAATCCAAATACGGTGCCGACAGATCCTCCAAATTGCTCGCCAGCAACTTGATACGTCAAATTGTGGAACGCATGACCGATGATGAACTCAATACTCCCAATGATCCCACCACCAAACGGGTATTCGTGTCCTCGGCGGACTACCCCACATTGATTGCCATCATGACAGCCCTCAGTGTGGAACCCAATGAGGAAATTTTGGACGAAGTCATTCCAGGATACGGATCGACTCTCTTTGTGGAATTGTATCAGGACGATCAAACTTACGAGCACATTATCCGAATACTCTACAAGGCATCGGGACAACCCCGGGCCACAGTCCTACGCATGGGCGATCATTGTCATGACTTGGGAGGATGTAGCTTGAAGAGTTTCACGGCGCACCTACAAAGCAGTGTCCTGAACACAAATGCGTGGTGTCAAGCCTGCGAGAATGACACGTCGGACCTTTGCTTGTTTTACAGCGGTCTGGCATTTCAAGAGAAACTCAAGGAAGCTCAAGCTGAGGCAGCTGTAGTTATGGAAACGATTAATCTCACTGTTGCCGGCATGGACAAGACGAAAAGTCCCTGTGCGGTAAAGGAGGAAGTTCGCAACGACGAGTTTGCCGCGGCATTCCTCGTGGGGATGGCGGCTGGGATTTGCTTGCTGAGTTTCGTCTTTGGCATCGTCCATTGCTGTCGAAAAGAGGACAACCGAGAAGATAACGTCGAAATCACCATTCCTCTTGCAAAGACAAACCCAAAAACTCCACAAACGTCACGAACAGCTCAATCGATTGCTTTCTGGGATGACGAACCCATTAGTCCAACCGCAAGCGAAGACCTTGAGGGTGATGAACTGTCACTAGATGACAACGAACAGCAAGAGAAAGGCAATGACACACCTTGTGAATCACCAGACCAATCAGCCCCACCTCCTCACTCAACGCCTCCCTCCAAACAAGTATCCTCCGTGGAGATTGTGTAAGGTTGTTTTTTCCTCCTACGAATTGCATGCGGTGATTTGGTTCCATCATACCAGCTAGCATGCTGTCATTCACCCAATGCCTTTCCCGAGTCGTATTAGTTCTTCATGCAATGCTAGTACTTGTAAAAACGTAGGGATTCTACGCGTACTAGAATGCTATTTTCATGGACTATCTAGCTAGACCCAAACTTCGTTGCACGGTGGGCTATACGGTAGCCAATCTCTCTTCAACAGAAGAGGTTGCATGTGTGTTGGTTGCCGCCTGACATCTGGCTAGAGCTAGGTACACCGTAGCTCGAAAAAGGCGCAGCTCTCTTTTGTACTTGACTGGCACACACCAACTCCATGTTGTGCGTGGCCAGGTCGTTCCCGTACGAACACTGTACTCACCGGTACCAGTGGCATTGGCCGAGCGAAAGTCACCTTACCGTTCTGCAAGTTCCGTGCCGGTACTGGTACCAACACCGGTACGACGCAAGGATTGCCAACGTTTCGCGGCACTGGGAGCTTGTCCCAAGCAGCATCAACAAGGGTTGGCTGCTGTACAGCATAACCAGCTTCTCATCCATGACTATGTGTTTGTTGTCGTTTTTGGTTCAGACCAGGACTATTGGGTGGAAGGAAAGAATATGCCTTGTCAATCCAGTACTGTTTTGTCAATTTCTCATAACGATATCCCCCGGGTGGTGGTTCCAAAACAATCCTGTCAAAAGCTTGCTCTAGGAACTTTGGAGTAATTTGATCATAGTTCTCCACCCAGACAATGGGGAGGTCACGCATTGTGTCAGACATCCATCCATCTACTTCCATTCTGCCCAAATGAGAAGTCACTGGAATCGATCCCAAATAAATGGCTTCCCAGTGCCGATAGCAATCCAGTCCTAATCCAGAGGGAGACCAGACAAAACGTGACCTCATCATCTGGTTGTAATACAAATGGGTCGCTGGGTCCGATTTCTTGTTCCCTTTTACACTCTGGAAGAGATTGTAAGTGTTCTGGGTTATTTTTGTATTGTTGTCTTTGGGCTTGATCATTTCTGCAACTTTCTCAGCTGTCAACCCCTCATATTCCTTCCTTGTGATGCTGGCCTCAATAATGGCATCACTGGCATTGAAGTTTTGCAGGATCTGTTTCATAGCCCCAGCGCGCTGATTTTTCCAAGGTCTGACATTCAGCATGAGAAGTTCAGATCTGTTTGTTTTGGATGGGTGGTATGCCTCGAGGATAGACCACCGCAGGTTGCCCCAAGATCGTGGAATTCCCAGTGGTATGGAGAACACCTTTTCATGTTTGAAGATTTGAAATTGACTAGTGAATATAGCAAGGGTATCAGGGTGATTGATGTAGCTGAGAACAAACTCCCTGCTGCATCCTTCTCTTTTCTCCCAAAAGTCAGGCCCCAATTTCAAACTTGCTGTGTGTCCACGAAGTGGAGAGGAAAGTGCTCCAAAATCATTGTGGAACCGGATCAAGGCTACATGGGGCCAGGAGACTTGGCTGTTGTTCTTCCGGAATTTGTCAAACACTTTTGCCACCGCACAGAGGGAGACTTCCCTGGCAAAGACAAAGGAGTGATTGTGCAGGTCGGCTTCTTCCAAGCTGGTCGTTGCATTTTCAATGGTCACGAACTTGAATTCCTGTATCCATGTATTGAAGGAACCCCCATCATGCCATCGTAATACAGATGAAAAATTCACCAAGGCTTTCATTTGATCATAGTGATGTTGATAAAAGGCGGCAACTACTTCCTCTTTCGAGAGTGAAGGGGTTGACTCCCCATTGGAACTTGTATTGTCTTTCTTTGCAAACGTACTGTTGGCCAAACGTTTTGCATCTGATGCCTGCCCTGGCTGAAGATACGTCCCAAGCTTTCCTTGCCAGAAATAGACACTAACAAAGATAAAGATTGGGACAGCAAAGCTCCGTCGGAAAATAGACATCATGGCGTATTGCATTCACTCTCAGCATTCTGAAGTCTATCCGCGATACCGGTATGAGCCGGCTGCCAAAATAATGCCATGGTTTTGCTCCATTCTTGGTTTCAGCTAGCTCTGCTGGATACTTTCCTTGGATGCAGACCTCGGGGTACGGTGGCGTACGGTACGGTGACTGTGCCTCAAAGAGCCACAAACCGTACAACCAGGGACCGTGAGATAACCAGAAGAGGCAGAGAAGCTGTTGGAGGTACCCCCAATATCGCCCATCCTTAGTACCAAGTCCTCCACTTTGAAGTCATGATGATGCTTTAATAAACCCAGCATTCCAAATAAATTTTCAGTCTGTCAAGTGCCATGGCTGCTGTTATCCAAGTCAGGTTCCCCATTCTGCAACGAAGGCAAACTGTAGTGGTTTTCACATGAAACAAGACAGTATTTTTCTCTTTGAAGTACTGGTGTGATGGTCATGTGCTGGGGCTGCGGCTGTGTTTACACCAAGTTTGCGTGTTCTATAGCTAGAGACTAAACTGGCACAACAGTCCTTACCATGGCAGTCATGCTTAAATCAACTGTGGAGGTTGTGAAGTGAGGCCCCTCACTAAATCAAGCAGCATCTTTGTCTCCGAATGGAATATAAGAAGTGTTTGTTGTGATGGCAGCAATGAAATGATAGTCTCATTTCAGCAACCGTGCCACTGTTTTCATTGTTGTTTCTGGTCCAGACCAGGGCTATTGGGCGGAAGGAAAGAATATGCCTTGTCAATCCAGTACTGTTTTGTCAATTTCTCATAACGGTACCCACCTGGTGGTGGTTCCAAAACAATCCTGTCAAAAGCTTGCTCTAGGAACTCTGGAGTAATTTGATCATATTGTTCCACCCAAGCAATGGGGAGTTCACGCATTGTGTCAGACATCCATCCATCTACTTCCATTCTACCCAAATGAGCAATCACTGGAATTGCTCCCAAATACATGGCTTCCCAATGCCGATAGCAATCCAGTGCCAATCCAGTGGGAGACCAGACAAAACGAGATCTCATCATCTGGTTGTAGTACAAGGACATTGCCCTCCCCCCTCCTAAGCTTTGGAACAGCTGGTATGTGTTGCGTAAAGTTGTTGGAGTATTGTTTTGAGGTGTGATCATTTCAGTAACTTGCTTCATTGTCAAGCTTTCCAATGCATTTTCAGAAATGCTGGCTTCAATGGTGGACTTGGTGGCATTGAAGTTTTGCAGGATTTGCTTCATTGGCCCAACACGTTGCCCCCAAGGCTTGACATTCAACATCAATAACTCTGATCTTTTTGTTTTGGATGGATTGTATCCTCGGATGATACGCAACCGCTGATAGTGATCGGTTCTGGGAAGACCCAAAGGAATGGAGATCACTTTTTCATGTTGGAATACTTGAAACTGACTTGTGAATATGGCAAGGGTGTCGGGGTGATTGATATATTCCAAAACAAACTCCATTCTGCATCCCTCCCTCTCCCAATAGTGAGGCCCAATATTTATGTTGGCTGTTTGTCCTGGCACGGGAGAGGAGAGTGCACCAAAATCATTGTTGAATCGAACCAAGGCGACGTGGGGCCAGGACACATTGCTGCTTTGGTGGAATTTGTTGAATACTTTGGCCACTGTGCAGAGTGAGGCCTCCTCAGCGAAGACAAAGCTATGATTCTGGAGGTTGGATTCTTCCAAGTTGGTTGTCTCATCCTCAATTGTGACATATTGGAATTCCCGAATAAAAGTGTTGAAAGTTCCTGCATAATGCCAACGCATCACCGAGGACTCATTGACCAAAGCACTCATCTGTTCATAGTGATGCTTATAGAAGGCAGCTATTTGTTCCTCTTTGGACAGCGAACGCGAAGTTTGCTCGCTACCGGTACTGGTCGAGTCTGCAGTAAGTGAAGCTGTGTTGCCCCAATGACCAGCCTCCATTGTCTTTTCCCTTCGAAGAAACATTGCACTGAGCTCTCCTTGCCGGAATAATACATTGTAGGACAAAAACGCAAGGTTGATGAAGATTAAAACTGGAACAGCACAGCGCTTTGATGAAAATTGAGCCATCGTTTGGATGTATGGTAGTGCGGCATCATTCTGGGCTGCCTACTACATGTAGCTAGCTGGGGCATGTACTTTGGTAGCATCGGACGAGAGACAAAGAAAGAGAGTTGATCTTCGCTTCGCACATCGGTTCACGAGGTACAATAAGCGCCAGCCGGTATTAAAAAGGATTTAATGTGTAGATCTACGTGCATGCGATTGGGCGTATGCTACTAGCTAGTAGGAGCGGGGACAGGGGGGGGTATGTAGAGAGCACTACATACAGCCTGTGCATATGAACAGGGAGGATGCCCGCAGATTGAGAGCAAGGCCAGCCATTTTTTTGGCCTGAATTCAAAAACGTCCAATTTCCTGTGCAATCGAACAGGATAGCGACGCCTGTTCAATTGCACAGGAAATGGAGGGCCTGTGCAATCGAACAGGATAGCGACGCCTGTTCAATTGCACAGGAAATGGACGGCCTGCCTGTTCATATGTACAGGAGGCTGCACATATACAGGAGCTGGACGTCATGTTCAAATGCACAGGAATTGTGACGTTTTCTGGGTAGGCTTTCTCATTGCTCAACAGTAACACATAGATCTGCCATTACGTTCAGCATTACAGTCAAGCATGTCCTCTGCAGTGGCCAGAATTTCTAGCAAGAATCTACTGCTTCCATCCAAATTCTCGTAGTCTTTATGAATATCCTGCTTTGTTGGGAGATAATCCACATTAAATGGACTTGGTGTAGTCATTGTTGAATGAAAACTCGGCACAAATCCTGTTTGTTTGCACAGGCGACGGGTGCCTGTTCAATAGCACAGGAAGCTTCCTGTTCGTTTGCACAGGCGACGGGTGCCTGTTCAATAGTACATGAAATGAGAGTAATCTCATCTCTTGACCAGATGGAGGTATTCTGTTTCAGACTGTAGAAGTGGTTGCCTTAGATGATCAAGTGAAAGAATAGATGGTTGCAACTTCCTGTGTTTTCCTCTTCTCAGATAATGAAAAGAAATCAGGAGAAATGAAGTCCAAATCTCTCAGTGACAAACCCCAAAGCCACAAGCCACAAATGAATGCAAGAGACATATATGATAGTGGTAGTAGTAGTGGAAGGATCAGAAGCACGTCAGATTTCCTGTGTTGCACAGGCGCTTGTGCAATTGAACAGGAGGTCGGATCCTGTACAATTGCACAGGAAATCGCGTCGATCCTGTACAATTGCACAGGAATCGCGTCAGTCCTGTACAATTGCACAGGAATCACGTCACCTGTTCAATTGCACAGGAATCACGTCGCCTGTCAGGCCAAAATTTGACTGCAGGCTGGCTCTCTAAAAATCCTGTGCATATGAACAGGCTGTATGTAGTGCTCTCTACCCCCTGTCCCCCCCCTACTATCTACCGGTACTCAGTAGAATCCGTCCCAAAGAAATGGGGGGCGGAGTAGATTTAAAACTCCCACGATTGAGGAAGATCCAACGCTGACACCAAACCAAGACGCAACATAATCGTGAACATCGAGCACAATTATTGACCTGCACCGTGCCATGACAGTGCTTGAAAGCTGAAGCCGTACAAGAAGAGTAAAAAACAAAGCTTTGTCGCTTCTGGAGCATGAGGAAATTGAAAGTATTGCCGCTGTGGGTGTTGGTATCTGCTCACGCGGTGAAAGGCGGGATATCCCACCTGCCAATCGCCACTACATGTAGTGCCAAAGCCAACGGCTCGGACATGGACGTGAAGTCGCAACAGGGGGAAGACGCTACTGCACCACTTGGACTTGCTCTTAATAACGAAGGTGACATACCGTCAAAGACAGGCAGTGGATTTGGACCTGCCCTAATTTCCAGATTTGGCCGTCCTCTAGCCGAGTTTGGACGTGACGTTGCCCTGGGACAGTCGGTCGACTATCGCGAGATTTTCCAAAGTGGGGGTGCCGCCGAATTGCTATTTTCGGGAGCCATGTTTCTTCCAGCTCGTCTCCTCCGCTCGAGTTTGTTGGGTTGGGCGGTCGCCGAGGCTATCGACAGACGGGGATATTATTTCTACAAAGGTGATTGGAACCGCAAAAAGAAGGAAAGCAAGGGGAAGCGCTACAAGAGAGTGACTACGGAATATCGAACGACCAAGACCGTGACAAAGGGTTTAATTACAGAGTCTGAGGATCCAGATTTCGAGTTTGAGAAGCGGCGCCCTGCTGCAGGCATTCATCCGCAAAGCAAAAAGGCTCCGCCCACCAGCACTGTGGAAACGTTTGACGCACTCGTTCCGGAAAGCCAAAAGTCGACAAATCTCCTTGCCAAGTCGGATAAAGAACGCATTGTCGAGGGGTTCGAATGGAAGGAACGTGGAGGAAAGCGGTACAAAGTACGACGCAAAAAGAAGAAGAAAAAGAAGCTTTCCATTGCTTGGACACGCAAGAACCAGTTTGCAGTTTTGTGGGCTTTGGGACATGTTTTCTCTCCCTTGCTTTGGCTGACACCAATTGGAGGTTGGCTTGGAGTTCTTTTCGTTTCTGCCGAATTGGTTCAGCGGGTGGAATTGAAGGACAATGAGCTTTTCGGATTGATCGAGCCTTTTCGCGGCGACCCGGTGAAAGCTGTCCTATTTGGATCGATTGTCGGGGCAGTGATGTCATTCTAGAGCATGCAGCTTCAGATTGTTTGTGGGGCCAGTTGCTTGGTAATTTGGTAATTGTTGAAATGGGGGCAACAGGGTGACGATGTACGTTATGAGCCTTGCTCTTAGTGGTGGTTCACTTGAATCTACATTTTCCGGTACCGGTAGATTGAGGGATCCCAGCAGATTACACTGTACCTCTACTGTCCACTATCTGAAGGAACTGCATACGGTATCCCAAAAAGCGAGGTAGGACTGTTTGCCGCTTTGTTTGGGCTACCAGGTCCGGTATCTGGGAACCAATCACTTCCATAAGTGCTTTGCGCAAAGCACTTGCTTGAAAGGCTACCGGTGTGAACACCGTGTTCTGCCATTAGACGGATCCACAGGGCCCCTAAGCCTTCCTAGCTACCGTAGGCTCGCTATTTGCATTGCATTATTATTATTGTTAATGTGAAGAGGCACATCTATCTGTCCTGCACCCATCACATGACCATCACTTCCAACTCATTATTCTTTCACACCTTGAGTGTTGTTTTCTAGCGATGTTGTTGAAGAAGGCCTTCCAGGCGGCTCTTCAGTCGTCCTGTATCATGACGGTGGCCGATGTGGGAACTCAATGGATTGTGGAGGGCAAGAATTTTTCGTCGGATTACGACGGCACTCGAACATGTCGATGGACCATGGCGGGATTTTTGCATGGTCCGTACTTTTTTGCGGGATTTTCCATGGTAGATCAACGCCTGGGAGCAGCCACGTCTCTCAAAGTGGTGGCTCAAAAGACGGCCATTGCTCAATTCGTCCTCTTTCCGCCATACCTGGTAGCCTTGTTTGGTCTGATGGGTGTGTTGGAAAGGCATCCCAATATTCTCGACAAGATTCAAGCAAAGGTACCCGAAGCGTTCTTGAGTGGATGCATCTATTGGCCGGTGGCCAACGGAATCAATTTTGCTCTGATTCCTGCGTCGCTTCGTGTCCCTTATGTGGCTTCGGCGGCCGGTCTTTGGAATTGTTATCTGAGTTGGGAAAACGCGCGAGATTCGGGTGGTAAAGAGTCCGAGGATGAGACACAGTAATGAGGGACATGAAGGATATTGTTATTTTGGTAACATAAACGACAATTCTCTTTGATTTTGGCAAAGATCCAAGTGGGAGCAGAGGAATACCGGTACAGATGCAAAGCCAATACCGAAGTTGGCGGGCTACGAAGCTCACTTCCGTGGATGCACTGATTTTTCCATCTGAGTGGAGAGACAACAATTCGTTAAACGATGTGGAACGAACCTCTTCAGTTTCCGGTGGGCATACCGGTATAGCTCATTTATTTGGTTCCCTGATTATTGAGTGACAAATGCTCAACGATCTTGCATCGTGTCGGTTTCGCGCATTTTGGACTCAAAAGAAAATCACATTTTGGCTCGTTTTGGAGGAGATCAAAACAAGTTCTGATGGTTCTATATTGTGGATTATCCGCTGTTATCAATATTGAAGCTTGTTTGTGGTTGCAGAAGTTCTAGCATCTGCAACAGAACACAGTACGGTAGCATCAATTGCTGCAGGCAATGTGATATGGTCAACAAATTAATAACACATCTAACTAGCTAGCTATAGCCCAGTTGGCCACTCCTACGATATATCTACAATTCATCTTTCTATGCATCCTTCCCTTTTTGCAGAGCTCGTTCCCCACCAAAGAAATCACGCCACAGCGCCACTGGCAATCCATGGGTCAGAACAGCCGCCCACACGCTTCCCCCGCTCACGATATACGACAAGGTGGTTCCACCCAAGACAATGGTGGCCAAGAACAAAAAGCGCGGGTCTCCAAAGACTTGTTTGCCACGGGGATATGCCACGGCGGAAAAGACGGGATGCGACGCCACATGGACCGCGAGCACGGTCAGGGCAGTCTTGTACAGCGTCAAGGTAGTGGGGCAGTTGATTGTTGCGGCTGTTTGCGTCGCATGCTGCAGAATGGTGGACAACGTCGTGGGTGCCGCGGGGGTTGGGAGGAGTGCCGCTCTCCAAATCACTTCTTCCAGGAGTCCGGGTACGACAAAGGCACTCAGAGGACGCCACAAATCAGATGGAGGTGGCGGCGAAAAATTATCCAGTTCGATGAATCCAGTAGCCAAAGATCCCACACCAGCGGCCGCTGTAGTCGCTGCCGTAATGCCGATAATGGGATACCATCCTTGAGCTCCCACAGGAATTGTTGTCAGGGATGTCAAGACCCGCTGTCCTATCGTATTCACAAGCATCTTGGCAACGGCCACTCATTCTTTCGCAACGAACAACGGCGCGTTGTTGGTGGGTGTTTGGGTGCGTCCAGGATAACAATAATAATACAGCATATCCTACTTTTTTTATAAAACAGATCAAAAAGGTAGCTATCAGGTATCCCCCTTTGCCCCCCTTTGGCCCTCCCTCCTGCTTTCAGCTTTGCCCCCATAGCCCCAAAGTGTCTCTTTTGTCATGAAAGCTAGGTTGTAGCAGCTAGCTAGTAAGTGGCTGCAGATGTATGTCTTGTGGGCAATGGGGATCATGCAGAGACATGCAATGATTCGATTCATTTTGGATCCTTCAGAAATGACGTCCAGGACAACACTCCTAGCTAGGTACTGTATCTCCTGCTCCAGCAAAACTCTTTTATCAGAGAGTCGAGTGACTCAGTCATGAGGGAAAGCTTTGGAGTTTAACTTCTTCCTGCACACAAAAGAGTCGTAGGGCTTGAGGGAACATATAGAAGAATCACTTTTGCACCTATGTTCTACGATTAGATATAGAGGACCTGTGACACCTCGTTCTGGGGAGAGACCCTTCATTCATCTTTGGCTGATACAAAGAAAGACAAAGCCTAAGTTATGTAATTGTTGTTTGTGGAGTTCGGCGGCCGGTGGCTCATCTTTTGTTGTTTCTGTAGTTTTGTGTTTGGTTTAGGAGTTGATGGTGGAGGTTCTGGTGGGCCCCAGCTTACACACTGCTTGCTTAAGACCAGAAGTCATTGCAACAACATACCGGTACACAGCAGCTTTCACAGCCTACCGATATTTGGTACAATCCTTACTGGCTCAACCACTGCTTTGATTCATGAATGCTCAGGGACCAACAATGCAATGAAGAGAATGGCAACTCCACCAAGACCGGCAATTCCTCTTTTGAAGAATGCAGGGTTGGCATCACTGGTAGTAGGAGCTTCTCCTGGCTCTGTGCTGCTTGCGGGTGGCTCTGTGCTGCTTGTGGGCTGCTCGTCGGAACCATCAGCACCAGTGCCCCCTCCAGCTTCGCTGTTACTACTGTTAGTCGCCTCTGCGTCGTTGTTGCCAACACCGAGCCATTCCTCAGTTGTTCCCGGGCAACCGCTGTCCGGTGGAACGGGATACTCGGTATAATCCGGTTCTCCGTCGACAGTCGTGGAATACCAAAAGGAAGACCCGAGAGTTCCTGGCGTCGTGTCCAGTTTGTCCAGGCCTATGTAATACCCCTCTTCAATGGAAACATACATGAGGCAGGGAAAGATGCCGGCGGCATCAATGGCATTGCCCAAATAGACGCGGACAAGTTGAGGATCCCCGAAGTCTTCCATGCCGTACTTGCCGGTGATGTTCCAAAGACCAATGAAGTCAAAAAATCTGGAATCATAATTGTACACCTCACACGCAAAGTTGCAATTGTCCAGCCAGGTACAAGTGGGAGGATCGGCCGTGTAATCTGCCAAGAAGAAACCGCTGTCGTTGAACCAAAAGCCATTGGCAGCCCCTGCCGTCAAGTAGAGCAACTGACGCGCATCATCATGGATCCAAACCGATGGCCCAGTATATCCAATTCCAGCCAGGGAAAAGATGCCTTCTCCCGCATACTGAAGCCCTATTAGATCGAGGATTTGACTCTCATCCACTCCGCTGCAACTCGCCTCGACATCGGGTGTCGTGCAGATGGTGAGAGCTCCCGTTTCGGCCATGGGCAACCGCTGCCCAAACTTTCCCCATTCGTAGCGAACTGCTCCAAACGGTGGTTGATTCACCTCGAGCGTTTCGGGAAAAGGTTTGCCAGACGGAATGGCATCCAACCCCAAGAGCCAAGCAGTAGCATTTCCATCGCCAGTGTCCTCGGTTGTGACATAAGCCACTGCCAGCATGGTGTTATTGTCTTCCAATACACAAAACGAATAGCGGTAGTCAAAACCATTGTACTGGTCGGGAGGACACTCATAATCCAAGCGTTCATCGGAATTCTTTACAAAGAGGGGACCTATGCGAGCTTCGATATCATCGTCAATTCCAAACTGAAGGTCTTGAAATGTCGTGTAGGCGTGCATTTGCTGAATGTGACTCCAGTCGAGAACCGCACAGTCGGGGTTGTCGGCTGCCACTGCGGCAGGGTCGGTACCGGGATACGACGTGATCGTTTTGGGAACACAGGTTTCGCTGGTGCCGTCGAATGGGCCGCGCAACCACTCCATGGTGGTCGTTACCTGTTGGGCCATGGCATGGTTGCCGCTGGAGGATCCTTTCCAAATGGCCAGGACAGTCAAAAGTCGAGAGACAACCAACTGATGGATCTTCATGTTTGTTACCTTATTGAAAACGAAAGATGTTACTGTCGGTTAGAGGGGACTATGGGGGAGAGTGGATGATGGGGAGGGAGTTACCTTTTACAATATGACCGGACCTGAATTGTGATTGTGAATTGTGATTGTGGACAACAGATCACCCTGTCGGGGTACGGTAGTATCGTAGCAACAGACTTGGTTCCAGAAGAATTGATTTCTTTTACGTTACAAACGGGTGCCAAGCTTTTCGAGTGCAGTACATGTACGTGAGTTGGTGTCACATCCGATCCAAAGCATAAAAAGATTGCGGCGGGTGCGTCTGTTGTACGCGGATATCCTGTGACTTAACTATTATTTTAATAATAGTGACAGTTCCGAAAGGGGGAAAGTAAACGAGGCTTTAATGCCTTTTATTAGTACCGTTACCAGTACAGGTACTGGTCCGTTGTTACTTCCTGAGTGACAGTCCGAAGATACCGGTACCCAAAGTTTGTCTCCAACCCTAACCTGATTCTGCAAGAAAATGGCCACAACACGGCCATTCGTCGAGCCTTGCCCAATTTTGGCCAGATGGATGGATGCAACAGCCACCACGCCATGACCATCGGCTCTGGTGGTGGACACAGCACCCCCCTCTACTACTAGACGGTGCTGATTAGCTGGAGGAAGACGAGCGACGATGGAGATGTGTTGATTCGGACTCATTTGCCTCTCGAGAACAATACCTGTATCATGCCAGAACCGGATCGAAATAATTCCAATGTACTTTTTAACGAGTATGTTAACAAACTTTCCTACCAAGAGCTCCAAGACATATGTCGGAAACTGGATGTGGATAATACGGGCACCAAGGAGCAGCTCATTGTCAAGATTGGCAACACCGTAAAGAGACCCCCATCCGAAGTCAAATGTGCCATTACCATGGAGCTACCGTTTGATCCCGTGAAAGCCAAAGATGGACGCATCTACGAACGATCCGCCGTTGAAAATCACCTGCAAAAGAGCAAAACATCTCCGGTCACCAACGAGCCAATGGCTCGGCAACTGGTAGATGCCCCACAACACAGGTTTCTCGTAGAGTTGCTGATCAAAATGGGTATTATTAGTGGAGAATTGCTGGACAGTTGGAAAATTAAAGAAAAGGAAAAGGAAGAAATGGACGCATTGCTCAAACTGGCCAGTGGCGGTGACAAACATGCCATGAGCACAGCAGGGACCAACTATCGATTTGGCAGAGAAGGTTTTCGAAAGGACTTGAAATTGGCTTATGTGTGGTTTCACAAGGCCCATGTGGCGGGCAGCGTTCGAGCCACAGCCAATCTAGGAGACTTGCTCTGCAAAGGCAAAGGCGGTGTAAAAGCGAATCACCAGCTGGGAATGATGTACATTGCCATGGCGGCCGGTCAGGGCTCCAAATATGCCGCATATAAACTCGCTGATGCCTTTTCCTATGGCAAATATGGCACCCCGGTAGACAAGGAGGCGGCATTACGATGGGCTCACAAGGCTTTGAATGATGACGAGAACGGCACAATGCTCCGTGACACGACAAGAACTGATGCCCAAAAACTTCTCGACGAGCTCATGTCCGACAACGCAACAGTTTCATAAGACCTGGCTGGGTGCTTGTTTTATTATGCGCCGCCAATCTGTCGAGGAGGACTGTTCCGAGTCCTCCTATAGTACTTGTAGATTAGTATTAAGTCACTGCATAGCCTCTATGATGGTGTTAGTTTTGCTTTGGACGTTTGGTTGTGGTACATGTACCGGTACCTCCAGGGGCTGCCTTATCCAGATCTGGCGTTGGACGAAATGTATCTTTTGGCCCTACTACGGTAGTACCGTGTGCATACACACAAGGATTTCAATGATCGGCCACACAAGTGCCGCACTGTTTGCTACGCTCAGAATTCCAAGCTGTCCACGCTTTCACTTCAAAACTTGGGGTCGTTGCGTCCATTCTCTGGTGTATGATTGTATCCTCTAGAGCTTGCAGGCATACATAGCTAGTAGCTGTTCCTTCTTATCGTAATCAGCAAGCCATGAACGACATGAACGACATTATGATAGGTGATATTCAAGTTGTTCCGGTACCTGCGGTCAACTTGCGCCGCATCAACACAGACACGTTAGAAGTGTTGTTCAAGGCTCACTTGTACGACTACTACGTGATAGACCCTTTGGACGTGATTCACTGGACCGAAGCACTCAACAACAGCACGAGCATAGAAACTGTACTTATGGAAGTTCATCCAAGTATGTTCGATCTACCGGAGAATATATACATGGCAAGGTTCATGGCTGCATTGGTTTCCTTGCCCAAGCTGACGACGTTGGATTGGCGTAGTCATAATGGCGCTCGCATGGAAATTCCCGCGGCTTTCGGCATCTTTGTGCTGCGACATGTGGTGGGCCTGACCAAGTTTTGTATGTGTCGGCATCACTTGGTTGGGACTGCTTTGGAGTTCGAAGAGCTTGCTCGATACCTTGAAGCCCACCATTCCCTATCATCGCTTCAAATCCACACTGTTCCAGAGGGGGTAATCTGCAAAGGCCCCTTGGTACATGCTTTCTCTCGCATGCCTCAATTGAAGTCTCTCGACTTGTCATGTTTGTCAGTGTGGGGCATGGATCCACCAGACTTTGGTCGTATGTTTTCGAATCCAAGCCTTCAGAAGGTTGTGCTGAAGGACTTTGATCTAGATGAACAAATTGCGCCGGCCATTGTTCGGAGCCTAAGGCAGCGAGATCCAAGCAACCCCCTTCAGAAGCTCAGCCTCGATACCACAGGCACTCACAAAGCCACTGAGAGTGCTGCCATTGCGTTCATATTGTCAGCAAACGTACCTTTCCAGTTGCTGGAGATGTCTTTGGGGTCTTTGAGACTTTCTGATATGAACGTTTTTCAAACTATGGCTCAGTCTCTACGCTCCAATTCCACCCTTCAGATTCTCCATTTGAGGACAGACAGTGACATTAGCTCGCTCAGTGATACGGTTTGGGGACCCTTTTTGGGACTGCTGGAAATCAACATGTCTTGGCAAGCATTCGCATCAAGCACAGGCAGCAAACTCGAGGGCGGTTTTTTCAGGAGATGCGTTCAATTCACAACCCCAAAGCTGAGTTCTTGCTAAAGCTGAACCGTGCAGGCAGGGGCAAGGTACTGGAGCTGATGCGGAGCGGAACGATGAGCAAGGACAAATGGGTCCGACTGCTGGCATCGTGCGATCTGGATTGTCGCTTCTACTTTCTATCTCTCAATCCATCCTTATGTCAAGGGCACTTCATTTCTAATGCGTAAAAAAAGGAACGAAAGGAGCGAAAACGCGGTTGAAGCAGCTACCAGCCACAAAGCCAGGCGCCAGCAGCAGTCGATCCCTTCCTCTGATTTTTTCGTTCACTGCAAGTGATGTTGCCCTTTTCTATGAGCCTTGTGGTATGTACCCGTACATGTCAAGCAATAAAGTGTGATATTCCTAGGATAATTCTCTAGAACACTCTCCTGGAAACAGTTGTTCCGAAGCATGCCCTTTTCTGACCATCCTTCAGTAATGCAGAGCCCACGAGACATCAATCAGCAGGCAGGGAAGTAAATATGAATTCTCTAAGATTACGAAGGGGATGATTGTTACATGCACTCAAGTGCATAAGTTCTTCTTCTTTGTCGGGTTGTTTATTGTTGTTGGTGGTGTTTGTCTTTCTTTAGCTACGCCAACATGGCATCGGACGTGATTACAGGAGGGGGAACTGGGGCATCATTTTGTGGGTATCCATTATTCTGGACAAATACCCCCTCCTCCTCATGACCATTTTGTTGTGGCTGACCATTATGATTCTGGACAAAATCCTCCTCCGGCTGGACATGGTCGTGGAACTCGTCCGTTTTGGTACTACTACGAACCGTCGGTCGCTGTTTGCAAAAAGTATTCCACACCATCAAAATCATGAGGGTGGACACCATTCCGGCAAAATAGACGGCGGCATAGCGTGAATTGTTGTGACTACTGCACGACGATTGTGCAGGATGATGCAATTCGAGTTGATGTTGCAGACAAGCATCGGCTTTGGTATTGCCACAGGCGGTACACCATTCGGTGGGTGTCAATCGGCGCGTCCGTATTTCCTGCAAAAAGGAAAACAAATCGCATCCGTCCTTGACATCGGTCCGACACGTGTCCGACAAATGAATGGGCGAAAGTTCGGTGCTGGTACCGGACTTGTAAAAGATGCGAACGTAGAATTTCCAATACTCCGTTCCTTGATGGACTTCGAAAATCAGAGCGGACGCATATTCGGGAATGACTCCCTCTTCGTGAAAGGGGATATTCATGGCGGCGTAGAGTCCGAGAAGTGTGGGATAATGGGCCGAATACAAGTATAATTTTTGTTGTTCCGCACTGCCTTGATACTTGTCCATGCGTGTGGCAATCCGGTCCAAGAGTGGTCCACCCACTTTGGACTCGGCCATGTCGGCTCCAAATTTGAGCAATTCCACGGCATGGGCCAATTCTCGTACGGCCGTCCAATCTTCTCCTTGAATGGACGTGGCGACGGATGGATCCGGCAAGTCTCGACACGCGTCGTAAAAATAAGACCCCGCGGTTCCACACTCGGCCATGGCGACTTGAATGAGATCGTAGACATTCCAAATATCTTTAAGAGGAATATATTCTCCATCCAAATGTTGGGCATACTCGGAAAATGCAGGAATCAGTGCCAATTTTCGTAAGAGATGCATACTATTGAATTCCATTTGCCGCCAGGTTTGAGTATTGTAGAGTTTCTCGAGTGTATCGTGATACGTGGGACACTTGTCGTACGCTCGCAAGTCAAAGTCATTGTGGCGGGCTTTGCTGTAAATGGGAATGACGGGCGGAGTTTCTGGAATCAATTGAAGTCCCCGCGTGGCACTCGGAAAGAGCCCCAACAAGAGCGATTGCGCCGAGACCAACGTTCGTTCGTATGCCGAGGATTCCACATGGACGCGAATGGGATCGTACTCCGCCAATACATTGTCGGCAAAGCCCGTGGTGGAGCTATTACTGTAGTGTTCGCGCAACCAAACCCCCAATTGATACTGTTGTTGTTGTCCCAATGGAGTTAATAAACTGTCAATGGCAGTCTCACTTTCCGACAGCGAATCGGCATCTTTGGGCAATTGTCGGCGAGATCCATGGCGGGTAATCACATGGACTTGTTTCAAACTGCCGTCGTGGCTGTGACCCATCTCATCTTCGTGGGCTTCACACTGTACTACTAATGTAGCAGTCCACAGAAAAGACAGAGTGGTAGCAGCAGCAACGGATGGATCCCCATTCTGCTCAATAATCTTCTTGGAATCATTGTTATTCTTGGCCAACTGAATAAATAATAATAAGTATTGTGTGGTTGTCTCTTTGTAACTAATACAACTGACTAACTGGCTGTTATCTTGGATCCCCTCTAACAAAGTGATTGTAAGACTGCAAATGCATGCTGAATGGCTGATGGAGACCTTTCACTGGAGGTTCCAAGGAAGTTATTACTGTAGTTTGATCGTTATGACCTTGACTTGCCACCAAAAGCGTTCGCAAACGAACGGCAAAGTCTGGCAGCAATTATTTTCGGCCTGCCGGAGGAAGGAGGACAGACTGGGACCAGACCTTCGAGAAAGATCCAAAAGATATCCAATTGACAAAGCTGTGAAGCGTGAAAGCACGACAACGGCACACGAGACAACACAGAACACGGGGGAAATCGTCTCATTGCTACTGTATTGGTAAGAGCATGGATGCAACCGTCCTGCCAATAGAAGAGGGCACTGATAATAACAAGAAGCAAACAAATACTAAAGAGCAACAAGGACTGGTGGCATTGCCATCATCGTATCAGAAGGAGAAGATTCAAGAAGACGAAGCACTCCTCTCCTTTTCAGAACACAGCAAGAAACAACAGAAACGAACTATCTGGTGGACGTAGAAGACGACGATACATGCCGAAACGACCCAAGAAAATCAACAAAAAGAAGCCGTTGCTGTCCTCGCAATCCCATTATTATTTTTCGTCTCCTACTAACAAATTGACCACACGAGCCAAAGAACTCTACTCCCAATTGACCAATCCTTTAAATCAGCGGCAGTGTCGGAGATTTGGGAACCTTTATTCCACTCGCCGTGGCACTGGCACGACAAAATGCCATTGCTCTCGCTCCCACGCTCTTTTGGGCGGGGTTTGCCAATGTCATGACGGGATGTGCCTGGGATGTACCCATGGGAGTTCAACCCATGAAAGCCATTGCCGCGACTGCCATTGCTCATGAATTGACAAACCGCATACAAGTCACCATTGCCGGTATATTCATGGGATTATTCATGATTGCCTTGAGTATTACCAAGGGAATTGAACTGGTCAATTGGCTAGTGCAACGCCAGTGGTCAGGTAAGAACAAGAAAGGAATGTTATTGGAAAAGTGCTGTTTTATTGGGATCTCAACATTTTCTTTGACTGCTCCTAATCTTCTTCAACAACAACATCTATAGTGGTATCCAAATGGGAGTTGGAATCAACCTTGCCATTCGAGGTCTCGTCATGATTCAAGGACTTTCTTGGTGGAGTGAAATCGATTGTATTGGTTTGGCATTGATCGTAGCCCTTGCGTGCCTTGTATTTGTTGAGGGAACCAACGCTCCAGCTCCACCACACCCAACCACAACTTCCAATGAGAACGAGGAGAGCAACAGCCGGACAACATCCTCCGCCCCGCCGCCACGACCGGTAGGACTCTACTTGTTTGGATTGGGACTAGTGTTGGCTATTTCATCGTCTTCTCTTG